TGGGAATTATAGACATTAACTAAATTATATTTCCAATACCATCCCTTAATTTAGATATTTCTATCATAAGCTAACAACACCAATTTCATCTCTCAAGCAAAGAAATTGATCTGTTTTAACTGCCTTTGTTAGAAGATCTGCAAGCTGTTTCTGAGTGCTACAATGCAGGACTTCTAACACTCCTTTCTGCACCTGACTTCTGAGAAAGTGATACTTAGTCTCAATGTGCTTGCTTCTTCCATGTAGCACTGGGTTCTTGGCAAGATCAATTGCAAACTTATTATCAATCATCAGCTTCAGAGGTTCCTCAACTTTAACCTTCAGATCATGTAGGAGATTCAGAAGCCAAACAACTTGACAAGTAGCTAAATTACTTACGATATACTCAACTTCACATGTTGACAGAGCCACGACAGGCTGTTTCTTGGAACTCCAGGAAATTGGACCTCCCTGAAATTTAAACAAGTATCCAGAAGTACTTCTCCTATCCACTCTGTCTCCGCACCAGTCAGAATCAGAATAACTTACTAATTCTGATTTTGTCTTTCTTTCAGAAGGAAACAACACTCCATATCTCATAGTTCCCTTAATATATCTCAGAATTCTGACAACAGCTTGGAAATGAGACCACTTTAGATTACTCATGAATCTACTAACCAATCCAACTGCATAACAAATGTCAAGTCTAGTATTACATAAATACCTTAGAGAACCAACCAACTGTTTGAAGGTTGTTGAATCAACAGAATCACCATCAGAGTCAGAATCCAATTTTTGATTGGTTTCTGATGGTGTCACAGTAACTTTGCAATTCTGCAGCTTAAATCTCTTCAGAAGTTCTTGTTCGTATTTTAACTGATGCAGAATGATATCCTTCTTCGAGTACAAAATCTCCATCCCTAGGAAATATGTCATTTTTCCTAGATTTGTCATCTCAAACTCATTCATCAGAACTTCTTTGAACTTCTTTATATCTTCTGGGCAGCTATCTGTTAGCAAAATGTCATCAACATAGAGACACACCAGAATCATATTGTTATCAGAGTGTTATACATAAACTCCATATTCCATCTCACACTTTTGAAACCTCTGCTTCTTGAAAAATGAATCAATTTTTAGATTCCAAGCTCTAGGCGCTTGCTTTAGTCCATACAGAGCTTTATTTAACCTGTATACCATCCCTTCCTGATTCTTTTTCACAAATCCAGGAGGTTGTGACACATAAACTTCTTCGTGTAATGGACCGTTCAAAAATGCAGACTTCACATCCAGATGCATTAAAGGCCAATTTCTGTTTGCAGCTAAAGCAATTACCAGTCTGATTGTTTCATGCCTAGTTACAGCCGCAAACACCTCAAAGTAATCTAGCTCAGGTTTCTGAAGAAAACCTATAGCTACTAGTCTAGATTTATGGTTGCCAATTGAACCATCTGGCTTAAGTTTCAACTTAAAAACCCATCTGACGCTGATGGCTTTTTTTTATCTGGAAGTTTAGTCAATTTCCATGTTTTGTTCCTTTCTATTGCCTCAAGTTCTTCTTTCATGGCATTAAGCCATTCTTTCTTTTTGAGAGCTTCTTTAATGCCCGCTGGTTCAGAATCTACTAACATGGCGCACTGAACGACTTCTCCTTCAGAGTCAACTTCATTATCATGCAACATGTCAAAATCTGTAAACCTTCTTGGTTTTTGTCTGATTCTCTGTGGTCTTTGAGCTTATTCTGAAACTGCACCAGAACTACTACTTTCAGAGTTACCACCTTCAGAGTTTTCCCTTCCAGAACTATGATCACCACCAAATTCTGGATCATCATCAGCATCTGGATCAGAATCAGATCCATTTCCTGAATCTTCTTCTGACTCATCTTCAGAATCTTCAAGATCAGATTCCTCTTCGGAACTTTCTAAAACATCTTCAGAGGCTAACTCTGGTGTTGGTATTACACCAGAATCTGATTGAGATTTGTTCCAATCCCATGCTTCAGACTCTTTTACCATAACGTCTCTGCTAACTTCAACTTTATTAGTTTCTGGACAATAAAGCTTATACGCACATGTACTGTGGTACCCCACCAGCAACATTATTTTGCTTCTATCATCCAGTTTTTGTCTTCTAGCTTCTGGAACGTGTTTGTAACAGACATGGCCAAACACCTTCAGATGACTGACACTCTGCTTATCTCCAGTCCATTTCTCTAAAGGAACAACTTCCTTCAATTTCTTCATTGGACACCTGTTCAGAATATATGTTGGTGTGGCAACATCTTCTCCCCATAGCACGTGAGGCAGCTTTTTCTCTTTCAGCATGCTTCTGGTCATATCAAGCAAAGTTCTGTTTCTTCTTTCAGCAAGACCGTTGTGCTATGGAGCAGTAACCTCATGTTCTATTCCACTCTCCTCACAAAACTTCTGAAACAGTGTAGAGTTATACTCACCACCACCATTTGTTCTCAGAATTTTTAACTTCTGACCACTCTGCTTCTCAGCCTTCACTTTGAATTTCTGTAACTCAGTAGACACTTCATGCTTGAACTTGATGAGTGTTACCCATGTCATTCTTGTGAACTCATCCACAAAAGACACAAAATAATTGTTTCCTCCAAGTGAAGGTACTGGAAATGGTCCACACACATCATAATGTACTACCCCCAGAGTATGCTTCGCTCTGGGGGCTACTTCTGATGTAAATGGAAATCTAGGTTGCTTGCCTTTCATGCATATCTCACATGACTTCTCAGGCTTCACAATCTTCGAAATACCATGTACAAGTTTCTTAGAACATAAATGCCCTAAGCTTCTATAGTTCAAATGCCCCAACCTCTTATGCCATAGCTTACTGTTACCTTCAGCTCCTTCTGCACTAAGGCACGTTACTTCAGTTGTTTCTACATTTACCTTGAATGTTTTGTTGCCTCCTTGTTCAGACTTCATAATTAACTTCTGATTGGAATCATACAACGTCAGAAGATTGTTTTTCATAACAACTGAGAAACTTTTCTCAATCAGCTGACCTACGCTCATCAGATTGCTTCTAATACCAGGAACATACCAAACGTCTTTGATCAAAATGTCTTTCCCATTCTTCACTCTAACTCTGACATCTCACATACCTTCTGCGTTAAGATACTTATCATCAGCACATCTGATCTTTGTTCTCCTTCTGGAGTTAAAGTCTGTCAGCCATTGTTTATTTCCAGTCAAATGATTTGAACAGCCAGTGTCCATATACCACCAATCTTCTGAGCATTTTCCATCAGAATCAGAAGCCATTAGTAGTACAGGTTCATCATCAGAGTTTCTCTTAGCCATATATGCTTCTTATGATTTCCTTTCCTTGTTTGACCTACAATCTCTGGCAAAATGGCCAAATTGTTTACAAGAGTAACATTGAACCTTCCTTTTGTCATACCTCTCCTTTCCTTTATGATATTTCTTATCATCAGAGGTTGAGGCTTCTGACTTCTGGAATCTATCACCACGTCTATTCTACTTCTGGTCTTTCTTGACAAAAGAAGCCTTCAGAGCTTGCTCAGCTTCCCTCTCAGAAGTTCTCTCAGACAGACGTAACTCCTGTGCTTCTAAGCTGCTTTGCAATTCTTCTATTATCATGGTTTCCAGATTTTTAGAATGTTCAATAGAAACAACAATGTAATTAAATTGAGGAGTAAGCGGCCTCAGAATCTTCTCTATGATTACCTGTTCATACAAAGTTTCTCTACACACCTTCATCTCGTTAGTGATCAGAATCACTTTGGAGATATATTCAGAGACTTTCTCACTGCTCTTCGTGTTCAGGTTCTCGTATTGCTTTCGTAGGGATTGAAGCTTCACCTTCTTTACTGATGTGTCACCACCGTAACATCTCACCAGTAAATCCCACGCCCCTTTTGACGTTGTTGAATCAGCAATCTTCTCGAACACACTTTCATCCACACACTGATGGATATAGAACAGAGCTTTCTGATCCCTCTTCCTCATCATCCTCTCAACAGTTCTTTGTTCTTCAGTTGCATCTACTGCAGCTGGTACATAACCATCTGTAACCAGATCCAGAATATCTTGTGCACCAAACAACACACGCATTTGTATCATCCATCTGTTCCAATTTTTGCCATTAAAAACCAGAAGTTCGGTGTTTAAACTACTGTCTCCACTTATTTTAAACCTTGCACGAATTTTCAGATCTTCAAACACACTATTTCCCAACCCATATAATCAAATTCTGTTCAGATTTTGTTCAAGATTTCAACAGAAAAAACAATGAACCAAAATCAAACACACAACTCACAAACACTCGTGTTTCCCAGGAAAAACAAAACCAAGTGCTCTAGATACCAATTTGTTGGTGCAAGGTAATGAAAGAGGAGAAGAAGATTGAGCAATGAATGATAACAAAGAGAACTAATATTGTATATCAAAAGAGGAATGAATGAGTTACAATATTGATAGCTTACTTAGCATATTTATACTACAAATTTGAAAATGCCAAAAGACCCTATTAAAGAATAAGCATTGAGAATTGTAAATATTAACTAAATTATATTTCCAATAGCTATTAGTATCATTTTAAAATACCAATTAAATATTAACTATCTTTTTAAATATTATAAATTTATTTAAAATATATCAACTAAATAATTTCGTAAAATTAAAATAATTTTATCATAAAAACTAACATAAAAAATTATATAAAATAAAAAAGCCACATCCTCGTATACTAGATGCTGTAAAGCATAGACATAGATCACAGTGTATGGGACAGTAAAAGAGAATCCAAAAACCAAAACTCTCACACAGCAGCAACAAAAAAAAAAGCAACCTTTACTCTCAAAACCAAACCCTCGTACCGTGTCTTGTCGCCGGAAAACCTCCATTCTCAATCTCTGTTGGGTTTCAATTCACTTCTTGTTTTCTTCAACTTCCAAATAGATATATATAGTTTGTGAAAAAAGGTTCTTCTTTTAGGAATATATATAAATATATAATATACATATACACGATATGTATGTTGTTCCTCCTCCCCAGAGATCCGATCCGGCTTCAGGATCCTCTGATTTGCGTATTTTCCAAGCTTGGAAAGGTTCTAACGTATGTAACAAACTTTCTTTTCCATTCCTTTTATAAGTTTTTTTAGTTAATTTGTGATGGAATTTGGGTTTATGGTTTTGTTTTCATAGATGAGGAATTCACATTTTTAGGGTTTTTGTTTTAGAATTTTGATGGGTTTTGAAGTAGCATTGGGAAAAAGATATGTGATGAATTTGTTTAAGTTAAGAAATAATTAAATGTTGATTATATAGTGCTGTTTATTTTAGGTTTTAGAATTTTTTTTTTCCTTCTCTTCTAGTGGCTACTATTTTTAGCTTTAGATAAAGCTACTATTTTTAGTTTGTTTGAACTTTGGAGTATTAATTTGCAGAGAGTTAAGTAAACAACTATTTGGGTTCTTGAATATGTTAGGTGTGTTTGATATTACAAAATGTCTCCGAATGCGTATTGTTTTTGTGAACTGTGAAACGATGGTAGTTGATAAAACTGACATGTGTCATCCTTTTCCATTCTCGGACCGGCATTGCGCTAAAACAATTGTAATTGGTTTGGTTCTTGATTTTGTAGATTAGCATGTCAAATCTCGACTTTTTAGGAATTGGAATCTAAATTTTTTGTACAAACAGAATAACGAAATCTAATTATATCTGTGAGGTGATGTGTTGAGTTTCGGTTGAATCCTTGTATTGTACCTGAATTTCTATAGTGGTGACTGACGTAAATTCTCACTTTCATGACCAGTTTCTTGCATTGTTAGGTAAAATTTGTATACCCTTTTCCATTAATGGTTTTATCCACAGATTTTGTAAAGAATGAAACTATGTCGGTGACGGTTGCTGCAATTTTTTTTTGGAATATATGTTATTTTCTAGAAAATTTGTAATTATGTTGATACATATTAATTGTTTTAATCCCTTTGTTGCAGAAATTTTTTCTTCAAGGTCGGTTCATATTTGGACCAGATGCAAGATCGTTAGCCCTGACCATTTTTCTTATCGTTGCTCCTGTTGTCGTATTTTGTATCTATGTTGCTAGAAAATTGATAGATGATTATTCTGATCACTGGGGGATATCAATAATGGCAGTTGTTGTTGTCTTCACCATTTATGTGAGTCTCTCTCTCTCCCTCTCTTTCACACACGCGTACTCGCACACACTTCATTTGTGTGTAAGCATGAGAAGCATTTTTCTATGTTGCAACTCACACACACTTGTTTGCACTAAAATATTTACCGTATGCTAATGCTATAGTCTTTTTCCAGATCGTAGTTCTTCTCTTGTCAACATCTGGCCGTGACCCTGGTATAATCCCGCGCAATGCACATCCTCCTGAGCCAGAAGGTCTTGAAGGTAGTTTAGATGTCGGGGCTGGTCAAACTCCGCAATTGCGGTTGCCTCGCATCAAGGAGGTTGAGGTCAATGGAATTGTTGTTAAAGTTAAGTATTGCGATACTTGCATGCTCTACAGGCCTCCTCGATGCTCTCATTGCTCAATTTGCAACAACTGTGTGGAGAGGTTTGATCACCATTGCCCCTGGGTTGGGCAGTGCATTGGACTGGTAAGTTGAACATTTCTCAATTGTACGTATATTTCTGCGTTTCAGCATTTTACATGCCATTCTTGATATTCTGTATATCTGAACCTGTGCAAATTGTCATGCAGCGTAATTATCGGTTCTTCTTCATGTTTGTCTTCTCAACGACGCTACTTTGTATATATGTTTTCGCATTTTGTTGGGTCTATATTAGAAGAATTATGAAGGCCGAGGAGACAACAATTTGGAAGGCAATGATCAAAAGTCCAGCCTCCATAGTCTTGATAGTTTACTCCTTCATATGCATGTGGTTTGTCGGTGGCCTGACCGCCTTTCATTTATATCTCATAAGTACAAATCAGGTAATTGCTTCTTTTTTAGTCTTGATATTTCTTTTAGAAATCGAACCAGACATCAAACCGGCGAGGTTCAATAAGTTGAACTGTCCGGTTTGGTTTTTAAAACACTGTTTTATATTCTTCAACAATAACTTGGCTATTCTAAAGTACTTAAAAACTTCATATAAGTGTTCATTGTTCTTGCAGACTACGTATGAGAACTTCAGATACCGATATGATCGACGAGCCAACCCATATAACAGAGGAGTGTTCGATAATTTCAAAGAGATATTCTTCACCAGCATTCCACCGTCAAAGAATAATTTCAGGGCAAAGGTCCCAATCGAACCAGTGTTACCTGCCCGATCAGTGGGTGGAGGCTTTATGAGTCCAAGTATGGGAAAAGCTGTTGACGACATAGAGATGGGAAGGAAAACAGTCTGGGGTGACGTGGGTAGCAACATCGATCATTGTGAAGGACAATTAAACAATCGCGTGGCTGTAAAGGATGGAGAGTTTGGCGAGTTGTCTCCAGAAATTAGGACAACAGTTGACGAGACGAGCGACCGTGTTGGAATACATCCTAGGCGATCTAGCTGGGGAAGAAAAAGCGGAAGCTGGGAGATGTCCCCTGAAGTTCTTGCTTTGGCAGCCAGGGTTGGAGAACCAAATCGCGTTGGCGGAGGTAGCAGCAGTTTGAGCACTGAGAGCAGACATACATAGCAACTAAACGAGCGACTGTGACCGTGACACTAATTTAAAAATGTTAAATCTACAGCTAAATTAATTGTAACTGAAGTGTGAGGGATTGAAAGGCTTCTAATACATTCTTGTTTAACTTGCTTTCTGGATTCAATATTAAGGATTGTGCATTGAAATTCATACAACAAAATCTAATAACCAAGGATATAACTGGTTCACTTAAGCTTCAACTCGTTTGATACCAACATGTATCTAATATTCGAAAGTTTAATTACAAAGACAGTGAAAACAACACCATAGAGAGAGATATGATTCATCACAAAACAAAAACAATGTATTTGGTGGAGTTTTACAAGTAGCTGCTAATATATAAAGAAAGATTGAGGTTGAAAACTATTGTGGTGGAATAAGAACATTTCCAATGTTGTTGTGCCATGGATCAGCCAAGTGAGTTGCCAAATTTTCCAAAGGTCCAGTCCCTGGGTATGCTGATTGTTGAATACAGATTCCAACAAAAGCCAACAAAGCGAGACGGCCTAATAAAAACATTCAACAAAGTATAAGTAACAGTGTCACAATTCATCAATCATCTACTGAAATCGTGGTTAATAGTTCTAGTATGTTAACTTTGTGTGTGAGTTGTGCTAACCATTTTAACAAGTTGTTACTTACCATTCTTAACTTCTTTGATTTTGTATTCATGGAACTTTTTAGGGTCTTTAGAGTAACCCAAAGGATCAAAAGCACCACCAGGGTATTTCTTCTTTTCAGGGTCTTTCTCCATACTTCTTTGGTGTTCAACAAAAGCAATAGAAAGGAACTCAATGACCAAAATGGTGGGTAGGGTACCCCATGGAACAGGGTTTCCTAAGTAGGTTGCTTGTCCTCCAGGAAGTGCTGCCCATTCCTGTGCTTTTACCCAGTTCCCTAACCCCAATGCCTCTGGTACCAAAATCCCTGGCTGCAAAATATAACAAACTTTAGTAGTTGTATACCGTCAATCAATAAAAAAACTCTTCATCTTGCCGCATAAGCCTACTTAGTAAGGTGTCACCGTGCTGATTTCAATGTTTTTTTTTTCTTTCTGAAAACTTAGTATATAGACCGACAAATCTAAAAGGAACAATCTCACCGTCCACCTAGTAGAATTCTACTAGGTGGATTCGAACTTACTCTCAAGCCTTTACTAACATGTCAATCTTTGGTGGTTATGATTTCACTATTAATCCGAACATGCATTAAAATAAAATTAAACCGCGATTCTTAAAAGGAGAGATACTTACAACAGCAAGCATTGCCCATCTGCAGTGAATGAGTTCAGACTCTTTGAATCTCTCAAGATTCTCTGGTACTGAACCAAGACCAAGAGGATCAAATCCAAAGTCACTGAATCACAAAATCATTCAAGCGATTAATAATATACTACAACATCATATAAAATAACATCATTGATAACTTCTAGTGATATTAATGGTCATTTTACAGAGAATTTGCACGATTCAACTATTGATGCTAACATGTGAAGTCGACTATTGAACTGAATTCACCAATCTCGAAAACCAAAAGAAAAAAAAAATGAAAAATGAATCCATGCATACCCTGGAGCTGAACCATCAAGATAGGAAGGTCTAGGCTGACCAGGCATCCAATCAGAAGTCATGGTGAATCTAGAAGCATTGGTAGAAGCAACACAACGAAGTGGAATTGAAGTTGCAAATCTTGATTTTGATGAAGAAAGAAGAGATGGAAAAGCTGAGATAGCTGAACTCATCAATGTGTTACAAGTCATATTTGTGATTCTTGTTACACAATGAGAATAGTTTGTGAGTGACTCTTCTTGCAATAGTATTATGTGAATGAATGAGTGAAAGTTTGAGAGAATATAGAAGAGTGGTAAGGATATAAGCAAATCCAAAATTAGATTTCCATTGGGTAAAGATGTTAGCTATTGAGTTATAATTGGTCCACGTTTCTATTTGTTCATCCAATTTCAATGTTGAGGTGGAGTCACTTGTGGTGGATATCTTCCAACTTTGTTTGTGGTTCAAGTTTCTTGTCTTTTACTTGATTTAAAAAAATCAGCAACATAGTCTGTCTTTGGTAGAATATTTTTGTGGAAGGTAATTTATTTATATATTGAAAATTTTGTGGCTATAAAAAATTTAATTATTTGGCTACTTTGTTGTTATCTGTTTAGTAAGATACGATTGAATGTGTACAAAATTTAATTACATACCAACTAAGGTCAAATTAAAAATGGCAATTTTATATACTTTTTCTTACACTAATTTTAAAAAAAAAAAAATTTGGAGTATGTATATTTCATTACTCAAAAAAATTTTTTTTTTCATAAAAATTAATATTTTTACCGTTTTTGACACTAAACACTGTTTTGGGAGAAAGTATATTTACATTATATATTTTAAAAATCTTAAAAGATAATTCCAAGAATGAGAATCTTACTCATTTGACTTAAAAAATGTCAATTTGACTGAGTAAATGTACAAATTTTATAGAAAACAGCAATAGAATTACTATATGTAAGACTCATTCATGATCATAATATGATAGTGCCATTCAAGAAATCATTGATAGAGTACCAGCACGATAATATTGTAGGTCGATGATGACAACATGTTTTGGGCATTCAAAAAAGTGCATAACAAAAAAAGTCTTCTCTTTCTTTATCACAAGAAAACATGTTTTCTCTGATGTTCTCTATTTATACATGTTAGTGCTGTAAATAAATGTGTCAACGGGTAATTTACAGGAACCTGTCCAAAAGTAATTTAATGTATTGCATCAAAATTTACTTTCCCTTCTTGGCAGTTGTTTTCTTTTTGGATGCTGCTCCACTGTCCTGTAAACATCAAAAGGAATTCAGTGACAGATACTATTAATAAAAAGACCATATGACAAAATCAAAATAATTTGCAAGTGAATGTATGTACCTTCCGGTAACTTCTATAAGCATTTCGGCCAGTGGACTCCTTCCCACTCTTGTTGACATAAACCTACAATGTGAAAGATAAGAAAATTCAGGTTCTGATCAATCGATACAATATGCCGAAATATGTTTATGATAAACAAGAGAAGGTCCAACACAAATCATATGGAGAATTGCAAGAATGACTATAGGTTAGCGAATGCCAGAATGTGTTCTTAGCTAGAAGATAAAAGGAATTGCAGAACAAATTTCAATATACTTGATCAATTAAAAACCATCAATGTCTATCATGAAATGTAAAACAACACAGATGTTTTCTGCATTAAAGTTGTTTGCGGTGGCTAGAATATTAAAATGGAATAGAATGACATAGTATGATCCTTTGAAAGTGTTGTCACAAAATAACACATCAAGTTTCAGCTTTTTATGAGCAGCATCTCTAGCAATAAGAATAAACAAATTGAACCAGCTAATAGCATAAAACATTCTTCAGAAATTTTAACATACCTTTCTTCCATCTGATCCTGTATACCAATGACCAGCCTGTTCACCGCTTGCTTGTACACGCCTTTGACCTGCATCTTTCGGTTCCACCCAACTTGCAGAATCATTTGAAGTGTTTAATTTGCTTGTTTCATTATTTTTCTTATTGTTGTTTCTCTTTGTTGCTTTCTTTCTAGTACTACTAGGAATGATTTTGGGATCTACCCAACCTTCAGAATCATTCAAGTTTTTTGATTTGCTTCTTCTGCTTGTTGATCCTCCATTGTTAAATTGTCCCCTGAAATCAAAACATAAGCTCGTGAGATACTTCTTAACTATGATCAAAAACTAAAAAATAGTTAAGGATAGAATATTCATGGGTTACATGTAATCAATATTTTCTTGCTGATTCACTGTGTTGTCACCTAATGGAGAAAAATTACACAGTCGACTACGAATTAACTGCTGAATTCTTGGATTGTCGTGAAAAAAATAATGATGAGCAGGAGGAAGAGGACCTGCCGCTTCCCACGTTTGTTCATCCTTTTGACATTCAGAATTAGCCTCACGATATGGCTCGTTAGATTTTGGCAACTGTGTGTCCTTGGCAGAATGGAAGTACTCTTCACACTCATCATTGAAGGCAGGTGTAGGAATAGAAAAGTTCTTCTTCACCGGGGAAAGATGTTTCTGATTTTGGTTTGCTTCAACAAACCGCACCTTTTTATCTTGTTTCAAAGAACTAGGAGGTCTGTTTCGGTTACCAGTTGACAAGGAGGGGCCAACTTTAGCCTCACAAACCATGACATCATCATCATCAGAATCAACCAATTGAAACCTGCGAAGAGGACAAGCCGCTAACTTGCCATTTGGCAACACCAACCTACTCTGGCCCGTTTCCAATCCAGCAGAAGCTTGTTTATCCCTAGGAATGGGGAAATTCTTCGGTAAATCCACACTATTAACATCCTCCCCAACCATATCATCATCATCATCAGATTCAATCAATTGAAACCTGCGAAGAGGACTAGCCGCTAACTTGCCATTGGGAAACACCGACCCACTCTGACCCGTTTCCAATCCTGCAGAACCTTGTTTATCCCTAGGAATGGAGAAACTCTTCACCGGCGAAAGATGTATCGGTAAATCCTTCGTATTTTGTTTCACATCATCAAATTGCCTCTTGCTATCTCGTTCCAAAGAAATCACAGGTGTATTTTTATTACACATTGGTTTACTTCCACCATCAACATTCTCATCAACCATAACATCATCATCATCATCATCATCATCCGATTCAATCAATTGAAACCTACGAAGAGGACTAGTCATTAACTTCCGAAACATGGACCCACAATGACCAGTCTCCAACTCAACAGAATCAGGAATTTCTAAATCCGGCTCTCTTTTTTTATCCCTAGAGTTGGTAGATGAATGAGGAGTTAACACTCCAATACTTTTCAATGACACTTTTGAGCTGCGACATATAGAACTATTCTGATTCCGAACCGAAGAACGTGCTGATACTAATTAATTTCACAAAAATGAACACACTTACATCAGAATCAATCAAAATAGCAAAATTAATTAACAATCATAAGCAGAAAAGAAGCAAACGAAGAAACTTCATGGTAAAAAATATAAAATATAAATAATTTGACCTTGAACATGTTCATCTGAGAACTCCTCGATATCATCATCGTCAACGTCGATGCACGGAGGCGGTTCGGGTTGGTGGCGAACGGTGGAGGAGGGGAGACCATGACGGAGGCGTTTGAAGATGCGGCGTGGTGGTTCGGGTCGGGTTTCGGGGTCGGATTCGGAGTCCGGTACTATTAGGATCGGGTCGGATTCGGAGTCCGGTACTATTAGGATCGGGTCGGGAGTGGAGGAATGGGGAGGTGTGTCTTCGGGATCAAGATCGAACCCTAGAGAGAACGAAGGAAGTTCGCATTCCGCCATGGAAATTTTCAAAATCAACGAAAATGGTAATAAGAATATTAAAGGGATTTTGGTTTTTAATTTTGTTTATTTAGGGTTTAATTTAAATTTTGTGAAAATGGAGGGAATCTAAATTGCAGTCATGTTGGCGGGGGTTGTAAGTTTTTTTTATAAATTTAAACAAAAGGTTATTACTATTTATATTAAAACAAAATTTGATTTAATATAACTAGGAGGATACCTGTTATTAAATATTTGTGTGTTATACATATTTGTTTTCAAAATGTAATAAGAATAAAAAAAGAATTAAAAGAATTGTTATTTTTAAAAGAGATAAATAGTTTGTGTCTATAATTTTTTTATATATAAAAATATTTTAATTAACAATTTATTTTAGGGTTAAATATACAATTCATTGTAATGTTAACGATATTTGTTTTTAGTCCCGAATAAAGTTTTCTTTTAATCCTCCTTATCTTATTTAGATTCCTTCACAGAATCCTCCAAATGCCAAGTGGTCCGGAAGATTCCTCTAATTTTTCACTCGTGGCTTTTATGATTATTATTTTTTGAAATTGATTCCACTTGTACATTACAACATGGCATAATCTCATTTAACGTGTTCCCTTTAGAGTTTCTTCCCTATTTCTCTCTTCATCTACTCTTTATTGTTCTTCTTCTTCCGCCATCCTCCTTCTTCGTTCGCCATCATCTGCCTTCTTCCGCCACCATCTCAAGCATGGGTGGAAGCAAATCATCATCATCAGCTGGTAATTTTGGAAGGGGATTGACAACATGTGGGTGCAACGAAAGGATGAAGATGTGGCTATCCAACACCATTGATAACCCAAATAGAAAATTCTGGAAATATAGAAATTCACTGATAAGTATTTGTATAAGATTGTAATCCTTTTGTTTTCAGAGTTTGTTAGTATGTGTGTTAATCTTAATTATATTTGTAGAATGGATGTGGGTTATTCGTGTGGGACGATTTGGCTAGTGAGCTTCAAGGGAATGACATGAATCCTCCCTCAATATGTTGTCAATGTGAAATCACCAAGGTTTATTTGATAGAATTTGTGTAGGAGATTGTTAGGGTGAATGACTGTGCAGTTGAGAAGAAATGAGGAGTAGAAGGAAGCCCAGAGAAGTCATCAAAATTGAAGAAAAAACTTGTAATAAAGAAGAGAAAAAACCTTTGGATGATGCTTTCACTTTGTTTGTCATGGATGGTGGTTGCAATATTGTTTAAGTTAATGTAATCGAATTGTTAAGGTTATCAATAATAGTTGTTAAGGTTTACTGTAACTGAATTTGTTTTCAAGATTTTGTATCAATGATTTTGTATCAATAAGCAATGTTATGTATCAATGGTTTTGTATCAATAAGCAATGTTATGTTTTCCATTTCAATTAAGACGTTGTTATGTTCTACATATATACTGGACATATGGTGTATAATATATCATAATTCAATGACACTAAACTTGGTGCATATTAGATTAACAAAATGTAACATTGGTACACATGTCTGTTACAAGCACAGTCGGTGCATATGTCTATTACAAGCACACTTGGTGCATAGGTCTGTTACAGCATTACAAAATGACACAAAATGACACAAGCCCAAAATGACACAAACACAAAATGACACAAAAGGAACATCACATTTGTGTAAGTGACACTAGTGTCCATAAAAATTTGTGTGCCAACAAAAAATAAAATGTATGCTCTCAAAGCAAACCTCAGGTGTCGGGTAACCTTCTCGGGATCACCATCAGCCTCTTGTGCATGTCCTTTAGTTCAAGAGATCACAAGTCCCTCGATGATCCTCTCGACTGTTGTCTCGGTTAAAAAAGTGATCTTAGAACTTTAGGACAGTTACTAAGAGTTCTTACCCAATTGCCTCAGTGACCGTAAACGTCTCTTAGATAGTCCCTCAACATCCAATGATATGGCTACCTACTCACTAATAGTAGGATAATACTATCTAAAGGAAATGAGGAAAAGAACGCCTTTTTTCAAGTAGGTAGATGACTGTTAAGTACTTGCTCAAAACTAATTCCTTTTTACACCACACTTTCAAAACCTTTTCAAAAACACTTTATCACACTCTTGAGAATTGATACAAGAGTTATCATAAAGCAAAAAAACTTTTCAAAACACACAAACACAAAAGTAATTTTCAAAAATGAGTAAGTACCTAAGAGCTCGTGGAAAACCACTGATGGAAAGTGTAATCGGTGGAAATAGAACTGACTGTTTTGAAATGCTGGTTCGCGAAATGTCGCGGTAAGCAAGAGTTGTCACCATCTTTTATTTTCTCCAACAAGGAAAGGACAAAAACACAGCAAAATTCCTTTTCGAGATGTTTCTCGGTTCGGGAGGTAGATTATAGAAAGGGAAGGTGTTAGCACCCTTTTTATCCGTGGTTATCCACGGGCTCTTAGGTACTTGCTCACTATGTTTTCAAAAGAGTTTGCTTTTCTTGTGTTTGTGGGTTTTGAAAAAAGTTTGTTTGAAAACTTCGTTTAACTCTTGTATCAGTCCTCAAGAGTGTCATGAAGTGTTTGTTTTGAAAACTTTTGTCAGAAAAGTGTAAGTGCGAAAAATTGTTTTTGTTTTGAAAGAGCAAGTACCTTAGAACCTCTACCTACTCGAAATAAATTAAGCTGTGTAAATGTACTTTAGACAGTACTATCCCATTATTGAGAAGTAGGTAGCACCGTCATTGGAGTTTTGGGTCAATTCGATTATAGGGACATGTGTGGTCACCAAAGCAATAGTAGGACGACTTAGCGGTAACCCCAATGTCCTAGATCCTTTTTATCCGAGGCAACCGTTTCGAGGCAACTTGGATCTTTAGACAGGAGGGCGACCTCTAAAACACCCTATACTCAATGACCACGTCGAGACAACCAAGTGAGGCGTACCCTAAGAGTGGTATGTGCGAGTGTGTCAGGATTCAGTTAATGTTATCTTTGCACAGGTTATGGTGAGCTACGATTGATTTTATTTTAAGGATAAGTCTTGTCATGCATAGCCTAATTAACACACATCTAGCAATTAATAGTTGCGGAAAATAAAACTACGCTATTACAAGGCGTCGGGTATTTACATCGCCAAAAACAAACCCTTTAATTTAAATTGCGGAAAGTAAAATAAAGCAATAAATAAATAAAGTCCTAATTAAAGTTATTACATTCCGGAAGCAAGTACAATAATATGGAAAAATGGATCGCGTGCGGGAAATTAAATCGGATGCGAGTTTTTTGGGGTTTTGACCCTTTTTTGAAAGAAAGTGATTTTTTTGGTTATTTTTGAATTAAATGGAATTAAATTAAATGAACAATTAAATTAAATTAAATTATGAAAATATTTTTGGATTTTTGAGTTTTTAAAGAAATAAAATAAATTGAATTAATGCTAATAAAAACCTAATATTCTAAATTGATTTTAAATATTGCAAAAAATATTAAAAGTTAAATCTAATTAAAGCTAAATTGATTAAATTAATTTATTTACAAAAATAAAAGTGATGAAGTTAATTTTAATAAATAAAATATTTTTTGTGTTTTTGATTTTATTAGGAAAAAATGTTAATTGGTTAGTGATTAATAAAAAGAATAACGATTAATTAATTAAAGGAAAATAATAAAAATAGAGAGAGAGTTTAGGAGTATACGGGTCTGATTGGAGGGGTGAAACACCTATTGGCGTCATGTGTAAACTGTTTTATTTTGGCAATTTGTGTTTTGTTTTGGCCATTTGTGTTCTCGCTTTTGGCCATTTGTGTTCTGGCCTCAACGTTCCTTGACCTTCTTAGGTTGTCTGTCTCGCCATGTATTGGTGTCATGTGTAAGCTATTCTGTTTTAGCCATTTGGCTTTTGGCTTTTGGCTTTTGGCCATTTGTGTTTTGGCCTCAAAGTTCCTTAATCAACCTGCATGGGATCCTGTCTAAATCTGCAGTGTTGAATCTCATGAACACATTAAATAAATTACTATATATCATAAAATACAAATAAAGTCAATATATGAAGAAATTTAATGTTTAGGTCAATATGGCATGCATGAATGATTATACCCTTTTGATCATGGAGATAAAATCAACCTTACCCTTACTGGAGAAGTAGTGATATAAATGCTTTTATGCCCTTTTGATCATGGAGATCAAGCCAGCCTTACCCTTACTGAAGAAGTAGTGAGATGTTGGTTTGTAACCGGGATGACTTGTTTGTAGTGAGAGAGGGATTTGTAATAAGGATTTCAAGGTTTTAAGGTTTTTGAAAGAATTTGATATTATGACAGCGTTGTGGCAAGGGTTTTTTTCTCTTCTGATTTGTGTGAAAAGAATGTGATTATATAATGGAAATTAGGGTAAAGAAAATGGGCTTTGAATGTGCAATTGGGCCTCCAATGTTCACTTGAGTTCGTCACTTTCCAGGCTAAATCGCAGGGACTTAAGTGCAATTTTTAAAGGGTAAATGTGAAAACAAAATGTAGCCGACATCGATAACTAACTCCTGTCCGAAAATCGGCTCAATCGGATAAAAGGTGAATCAGTTATGAATTTTTGAAGTTTCAGCTCAGACAAACTTATTTTGGGCTCCAGTGTCGACTCTGACACGTTCTTCAATAAAAAACTGGTATTGATTGGAGCATAATCCGGTCTCGACTTTTGAAGAAAAGTTGTAGATCTCTAAGTCAGTGACCTTGTGTAAAAATATGAGCCTAATCCGATAAAAATTGACCGAGTTATGAATTTTCGAAGTTTCGGCCCAGATGAAATAATATTCAGCATTCAGGATTTTTGGCGCGTCACACACTCTGAGCAAAAAACGAAGGCCTTTTGAATACCGTTTGAACTCAATACCTTCTGTGAAAATGTAGCCAACTCAATTTGTGAAATTTTGGCGCCGGAACCAGCTCGATACGATGAAAATCGACCAAGTTATGATTTTCTGAACATGACGCAAATAAACTTCTGTCACAAATTTTCTGTACGGAAATACTTGATAAAT